CCTTGTATGTGGGGCAGAATACTAACTATAATGTGTACACTGACTACAATGAGTACACACACACACACACACACACACGCACAGAGCTGACAGTTGTAATAGCTCAAGTACACCGTGAGTTGGTACCCCCTGTACTTGAACACTGCAGTCCATGACTAGTGAGTTGCAGAGCAGCGACAGTGCCCTTAGTCTGTGCAGGAGACTAGATGATGCACTTGGGGACCACAGTCAGTCCAAAACCAACTTGAACTCATTGCCTTCAAGTCCGATCTGACTCATAGAGGCTTGGCAGGACAGGGCAGACCAGCCCCTGTGGTTTTCCATCACTGTTGTAACTATTTATAGGAGTAGACAGACTCGTCTTTCTGCAGAGTGGTGGTGAGTTTCAACCCCTGGCCTTGTTAGCAGCTCAGTGGGGGTAACCCATTATACCACCAGAAGACTTGGAAATGGGTCGTGGCGCTGGCTGACCACCACGGTTCCTGTCACTGAACTGCGCACGTGGAGACCATGGAAATGGAAGGTGTTCTGTGACATAATATATTTTCCGCAATTAAAAACAAGAATGTTTAACGTTATCACAACTGTGACCAACATACAAATGAGAATGTCGTAAGTGCCCTGAGAAGAGGCTCAAGGCGAGTAACGAATGCTTGCTGTGGAAGAGAGGAGAGAAGAAATTGCTTTGCCTTTTTGTTTTGTGTTTGTGTAGGTGCTTCTGTGAGGGTCGTCTCTACTTTAGTTTTTTAAACTAAAATGAAATAAGGCCTCTCTGGTGTGTAAGATGCATTTACTAGCGAGCACACTCTATCCACACACTGTATTCCATCCCTTTGACTGGTGTTCTAGTGTCTTCCAAGCCCGGGGTCCAGGATTCTCTGCTTCACCGCCGAGTTCTTTCTCTTGCAGTGTGACGGCCAGTATATCCCCCTCCCCAGTCTGCAAGGCATAGCAGTGCTGAACATCCCCAGCTACGCAGGCGGCACCAACTTCTGGGGCGGAACGAAAGAGGACGATGTAAGTAGCATCATTGGGAGTAAGTCGTCTTCTTTTCTCCAAAATAATTAAATTACAGGGCCGGAGAGGGGGCCTTGTTTGTTTGTTTGTTCCTGATGTGTCGATAAATTCCATAACATTGATTTTATATTGGAGTATGCTATTCCTCATTGGGAGATGAGTAGAACAGATTTCTAAGGACTTTGTTAAAGTAGTCACTCTTTGATAGACCCTGACATTGTCACTCACTTAAGATATACCTATCTCGGGATGTTTCTAAACTCTTTCTGGGTGGACACAAAAGAATCGACTGTTGCCAGTGAGAGTTCAG